ATACATAATATACAAACACACAAGGTTATGTGGAATGCATATGACATTCCCCTTAAAAATATCATTCATATTTAAAGGGTGTTGAGTAAGTGAATTTTTTTTCTTTTGTATCTTTCATATATATATATATATATATATATACCATAAGGGTATTGTTGAATTTTTGTGCAGTTTAAGATTAATTTTTTCTTGGACAATTTTAAAGTCACATTCCCTATTTTAATCTAGTATATTTTAAAAAAATTATTTTTTAAATATTAACTCTAACCCTAAATCTTATACACAAAATAATACATATTTATCCATAGATGTAACCCTTTGTGTTTTTATTTTCTCTTTTGAAAAAGCTCAAGTAGCACTAATATCTTTCAAGAAAAGGAAAAGCATTAAATGACACAAGTTAAAGGAAAATTTGTGAATGCATGTCAACCTTACAATAAATAGATTTGTGATGTCTATGAAGTTCATTTAGTTGACAAGTTTTAAACACTTCTCATTTTTATGCTTAAGCTCTGTTTATAGCAATTTTTTGAGGTTAAACAATCTATAAATTCTTAATTACTTAACAACTGCGGGCCCTAATTTGAGATTGAGATAATCTCCAACCATTTTTTTACCCAATGTTAAATATAACTTTTCTTCTTGTACATTCATAAATAATTAGGAGAATCAATTATTTACGGGTTGTTTTTCATTAATGCATACATGGACACCACTCATCTACCAAAATTAAAATCGACACCAGTCTCACATGCCTAAGTTCTAGTTGTCTATGAGCCCCATTCCCCTGAGGCATTAATTGACTTTCTTTTGTTGTATAATAAAAAATAATTTTTTATTATCTCTTAATTTATATTACTCGTGAAACTTGAATTTAAAATTTTTTATTTTTATTAAAAAGATATTACTATTAAGTTAATTCATTGATAGGGCATTGATTGACTTTAACATGCATTTGATTGCATGCTTTTATTTCCCTTCATAACGAGAAATTTAAAATTTACTAAAAAAGAAAGTAGAAAAAAGAAAATATCATGCATTCTGTACATGTAACCACTCACCAACTACATTATTTTTCTAAAGATAAGGAAAAATTAGGATAAATAATTAATTTAGTCATTATCGGAGCAGGTGGAAGTAGGTTTATATAATTTGCTTTGCATTTCATCGGCGGCCCATGTCATGCAAACATCAAATCGAAAGTTAAGTTTGTTAGTTTCTTCGATTCAGAAAGCATCTTATACGTACCGCAATCCAAGCATCAACTGGCGAGTTAAGTAACAAAGTGAAGTGTTTATGCCAAGGTCAAAGCTCTTAACGAGAATTAACAAACCCTGCAGCGTTTTATTCTAACAAACCTGCTAGTTTATTTATTTAAAGGTATTGCTGGGATGCATAACTGTAATAATATGTTTATAATATCGTGTAACATTATAATTTTATATTGACGGTTTTTTTATTAAATAATGATAAAAAAATTATATTTATTAAATAATTAAATATATAATAATATTAAAATTTTAAATAAAAGTAATTAATCATATAATTAACATTATTATTTATAACTACCTTAAAAATAATGAAATGGTGAGAAAACATGACCTTGTACCTAACATCCCCTTACAACTGTTTCAATCATGCCATGACTCACGGCAACAGCGTGTGCCAACTGAACCATTCTTACAAGTCAAAAGCTGGAAAGAAAAATGAATGAATAAACTAACTTCTAGTATCCTTTTTAAAATATCTATATATCTAGAATTCTGCTTATTCTGCTTATGTGTCCTTTTAACAAGACTTTAAATTTGTGATTGGGAAAAAAAATGGAAACCAGATTATTATTCAAAGGATTTGTAAAAAATCACAATTTCTTAGTGCTCAAAACATCCATTATAATTGTTAATTTCATAAATCTCAATAAAAATTTCACTTATTTAAGGTTACGATGAATATCTTAATGTTAATACGTCTTAATTCTCATATTTTCACTACTCAAATTGCAAAAATCACGGGGTTTAGCCACATTATTTTTATTTATTTATTTTTGCACTGTTGAATTGTCTTTGTTGGAATTGTTGTGGATGCCCCGCCCTATAAAACAAAAGTAGGCATGATTTGTGCATAAAGTTGCTAACATTTTGCTTTTGAATGGGTGGGCTAAATATTAGTACAATAATTTTTCAAGATGTTAGTGCACGACTTTTGGGAATGTCGGTCTAGCCAATTCAAAACCAAGTTCGAAGATACCTAACCAAGGTTAAGCCTAATGATTGAACTAACCTCTCAAACTTATCCCCGTTAACCAACCCATTAATTGTTTAATGCTTAATTTGACCGTGCTAAATTGTAATTAGAATTATAAGTTTTTTTTTTATTCTTTAACTTCTCAAAAATTTATAAAATATATTTAATATTTATTTTAATTAATATTTTATATATCTTTAAAATAATAAAAATATATAAAAATTAAAAATTAAAATACTAAGAAGTATTATCCAACAAAATCTAAAATTACTGTAGGTGAAGAGTTGCATATTTCACCATCTGGACCTAAATAATTTTTTAAAAATAATTCTCGATAAATGTTGAAGATAGACTATCTAAATTAATAAAGCTATTTTTTTATTTTTTATTTTCCCATTCTCCATATTTTCCATCGTTAAAGAAAAAAAAAATTGCAGAGCTCACCATCAAAACACCATTAATTTTTTGAGCAGTGCTATGTCACTTCCTTTTAACACTTCAATATCCATCTTTTAATAATTGAACCACAAAGCACTAGTCTTTTTCTTTTATCACTTTAACAGCCATATCTTTCAATAATTACCAAAGGCACTAGTCTTTTTCTTTTATTGAATATAATACTAAAATTTAAATACGTTAACTTTAACTTTAAGGTACTTATCAACATGTTTCTGTCTTGCGCTTCAATAGTGAAGTGTGTTTGCACTTGATTCTAGAGGTCTCATGACACTAATCATTGAAAAATGCATTTATTTTTTGGATGGATTTTGAATCCACTTTATATCAAAAAGTTTAAAAGAAATAAATAAATAAATAAATAGATAAATAGATAAATAGTGAAGTGTGTTTAAAAGAAAAATCACTAGCATTTCTCTAACATTTTTTTAAAGAAAACTACCATTATTGGGCATGCAAGGTGAAGCTTGTCGTTACCCCAAACAAAAAAGTGAGGAAAATTTTGCAAGAGTGGCAAAATTCTTTCACCATCAAAGGATGAGTTGGATAGCAAAGTATATGTTCGGTAATATTCTTTTATTTCTTTATAT